GCTCTCCTGGGTGCTCAGCCAGGGCTGGAAGTCGGGCAGCCGGGGCTCCCAGTGCCCCCCCGGGAAGTCGAACGAGAACAGCTGGTCCCCGTCGAAGGTGTCGGCCAGGCCCAGCGAGGGGCGGTCGGACTGGCAGAACATCACGCGGGACAGGACATGGGCCGTGGGCGCTGCGGGAGAGACACACCGACCGGGGTCAGCAACGGGGCATGCACGCTCTGTGTGCACACACACACATGCTGTGTATACACAACCCTACACAAACAACCCCACACACTACACACTCATCATCCCCCGTACACACACTGTCACACACACAATTCACACACACTGCGCACACAGTGGCCCCCGTTTTCTGTGCACACACAAGTTCACACACTCCTCATGCACACAGGCACACCCACCCTATACACACAGTCCTCATGCACACATGTTCACACACACGACTGTCATTTACATGCAAGCACAAATGGTCACACACCCACAGAATCACGACAGTCCCTAAACACACACATTCCTTTGCATACACAGTCCATTCACCCACACACACTCACCCACACACACTCACCCTCATACGACAGTCCCCAGGCACACACACAGCCCCCCACCACACAATGCTGCTATCCCTCACACACAAATACACATTACAACCCATGTATAAGCACACTTTTCCCATACACCCACACTCACCCACACTACACACCCTGTACACACAGCCACACACATGCATTAAATACCCTATATACACACACAGTCTGCATGTGCACATAGTGACAAAACACACCACAAGCCCCCCAACTGCACACCTACACAATCACACACAACCAACCTCCCCACACTCTGCACTCCCCTGTGTGCACAATCACACACACACACAAAATCTGCTGCCACGCCACCCTCCCATTTACACGGTTACACACCCTGCAAACCCATACACACCCAGCAATACCCATGAACACAACATCCGACACGGACACACACTGACAGAGCCGGGATAACTTCCTCCCCACACACACTCAGGCAGTGCCTGGCTAACCCCTGGGAAGTGCTTGCTCTCACGCACACACAGTATAGCACACCCTGTTTACACACAATCTCCATGCACGCCCAATTCCACACACACTTACACAACCCCGACACACATTCACCCCCCCGACAAAAACAAACACTCCCCCGAGATGCACCTGTACACACACAATCCCACACACTGTCCCCATGTGCACAATCATTCTCAGACACAGTCCCCCTGTACATACACACAGTCTCCTTCTACTCAGACACACAATCTTTATGTGCACACAATCCCCTCGTAAACACACACAACCACATACACAATCCCGGACCATGCCCACACAACCCCCGTGTGCACACACACAACCACACATACAATCCCCGATCATGCACACCCAACCATACAATCCCCGTGTGCACACACACAAACACACACACAACCCCCGTGTGCACACACACAACCACACATACAATCCCCGATCATGCACACCCAACCATACAATCCCCGTGTGCACACACACAAACACACACACAATCCCCTTGTGCACACACACAAACACACACACAACCCCCGTGTGCACACACACACAATCCCCTTGTGCACAGAACACACACACACACACAGGCCGTGCAATGGTCCCCCCGCCAGTACCGCCCGTGGGCAGCTCCTACCCTCTGTCGCGGCGGTGGCCGCCGCCCCCCGCAGCAGGCCCAGGGCCAGCAGCAGCGCCCAGCAACCGGGCGCCTCCATCCCCGCCGGGCTGCCTCTGCTCCCGGCCCGGGCTCCCGGGGCATCCCCGGCCGCTGCCGGCCAATCCGCGCGCGCCCCGCCGCCTCCTGGCCAATGGCTGGGCCCCGCCACCGCTTGTCACCTGTTACCGGGGAGGGCCGGGGAGCGCAGATGGGCGGCCGGGAGGCCGGGCTGGGGGCACGTGGGAGGGTCCGAGGCCAGGAGGGACCATGGTGAGCATCTGGTCTGACTCCTGTCTAGACAGG